CGATCAGCGTCTTAATTTATGATGGCCCAGTTCTCAGATCTAAAAAACTGGAAAGGGGAAAAAAAATCTAAAAAACAGGAAAGAAATCCATAAACCGCATACGATCAACAGGAAAGCTAAAATAAAGGAAAGCACTATTGCAAGTAATAATTTATCTTGAAAAAAGTTTGGAAGATAAGTTTGATTGGATAAATTTTACACAATTTAAGAAACTTTAATTATACTATTTAAATTACACGATTTTCCTTTACTTATTCCTATTAAAATAAAAGCAGTTGATAAATTGATCTTTTATATATATATATATATATATATATACTAGTGATGTCTGGTTCGCGCAATAGGAATAAATACTCGACCCTGGCCCAATATATATATATATATATATATATATATCTTAGAAATATTTGTATTTGGAAAAAAAATATTTTGTATTTGGCCCGATATATTTTAGAAATGTTTGAAAAATTTAGAAATGTTTTATAAGTGTGATCATAAAAAAGTTTATATTTGACATAAAAAGAAATTATATTTGACCGGTACGTGTTAGAAATGTTTGAAGATTTTAAAAATGTTTTATAAGTGTTACTTCTTAAATATAAATAAACTTGATCAAATATATGTCTTGAATTAAATGCTAGACAAAATATAAAAGCATCCTAATAAGTTTAAATATTAGTAAGATAATTTATTGATATTCTCCAGTTGTGCTAAATCAATACTTAGTTTTGGAGATTTATAATAGCTTTGTAGTAAGCTTCCTCCCAAGAGTATATGCTTAATTGTTGAAACTATTTCTTCCAAAAGTTTATAAGTAGTAAAATATCAAAAATATAATTTTCAAACTGGTTAATTGATGAAATTGGTTGATCACAAATATGAGAATGAAAATAATATAAATTTGCATAGGTTTCAAGTTATACCAAAAAAGAACTCACCTCACCATGGCAAATAAAAAAATAAAAAAAAAGTAAAAGATAGCCCATTTAAAATTGAGAAATTTATTTTTTTCTGTAGGTAAACATGTTGTATAAAATACAAATAAACGTAGAAACATCATTCTTTCCCTCTCCGCTTCAAATTCATAAAAGGCTTCCCCAGAAATTAGTTAGAAGAAGCGACCTGAACTATTTAGATGATGAAAAACTAAAAAAAGTCCAAAAACCAAAATTCAAAAAGTATATTCTTGAAAGTCCGAACTCAAAAAAAAGGCGCTTTATTTGCAAATAAAATAAAATAATAATAATAATAATAATTGGTCAACTGGGAGTATGAAACAAAATAAAAAATAATTAAACAAAGAAAAACACTTTTCGAAACTGACCATTTATGAAAAAAAACTAAGACTCCATAATTAAAAAAAGAAAACCACTCTAATTGAATGAAACATTAAAAAGAAATTTAAAAAACCACACTTTGTAACAAAAACTCAATTAATCAATTCAATCCAAACAGAACTAAAATTATACAAAACTTATAGGCTAACTAACTATATAGGAAAATTACATCATATTACCTGACAACGGCTATGGTAGCTGTAACGGATGGCCGCATAAAAATAATAGTAATAACACTATTCTTGAACGGGAAAAACAAAAAATAATAAAAGCCAAACAAATGATCTGTGGAAATAAAATCATTTACATTTTAATACCTGTAATTGCACCACCACAACGGCCGAAGCAAGATCAATGAGATTTTTTTTTTCCTTTGTGTTTATATAGAAAGGTAAAGAGAATATTTTTGAAATGGAAATTTTATCTGATCAGGATGTAGTTGATCATCACTAATGAAAAGATTGAACATACTAATAGGAAATGAGTATATTTTACTATATATTCTCAATTGATGATTGATGAGGAATTTGTTTTTTTTTTTATTGTGGAGAAGGGATTGATTAGGGAGTCGATTGTCGTGGAGATGGGGATGAAGATTTGGGTTTTTTATGAACCCGTCTTTTTTTTTGTTTTGGCAAAAATAGGAGGTGGAGGTGAATTTGGATTCCATTTATCTTTTAAGTTTAGGAGATGTGTAAATAAAAAATTATTTTAAAAATATGATGTGGAAATGCCACATGGCAAATGGTGGTGCTTTCTCTTTAAGTGTGGTTTTTGTTTCTAATATAGTAAGATATATATATATATCTTACTATATTAGAAACAAAAACCACACTTAAAGAGAAAGCATCACTATTTGCCATGTGGCATTTCCACATCATATTTTTAAAATAAATCTTTATTTTCACATCAGTTTCCTAGATTTAAAAGGCAAATGCAGTCCAAATCCACCACCACCTCCTATTTTCACCAAAACAAAAAAAAAACACGACTTCATAAAAAACACAAATCCTTATCTCCATCTCCACGATAATCGACTCCCTAATCAATCCCTTCTCCACAATAAAAAAAAAAAAAAACCAAATTCCTCATCAATCATCAATTGAGAATATGTGGTGAAATATACTTCTTTCTTATTAGCATGTTCAATCTTTTCATTAGTGATGATCAACTACATCCTAATTAGGTAAAATTTCGACTTCAAAAAATATTCTCGTTACCTCTCTATATAAACACAAAGGGAAAAAAAATTCTCATTGATGTTGCTTTCGGCCGTTGTGGTGTTGCCATTACAGATATTAAAATTTAAATGATTTTATATCCACAGATCATTTGTACGGCTTTTATTATTTTTTGTTTTTCTCGTTCAAGAATAATGTTATTACTATTATTTTTATGCGTCCACCCGTTACAGCTACCGTAGCCGTTGCCAGGTAATATGATGTGATTTCTTATATGGTTAGTTAACTTAAAATTTTTGTATGATTTTAGTTCTGTTTGAATTGAATCAATCAATTGGGTTTTTGTCACAAAGTGTGGTTCTTTTAATTTCTTTTTTATGTTTTATTCATTTAGAGTGGTTTTCCTTTTTTTAATTATGGAGTCTCAGTTTTTTTTCATATATGGTCAGTTATGAATTGTGTTTTTTCTTTGTTTAATTGCTTTTGATTTTGTTTCATACTCCCAGTTGACCAATTATTATTATTATTATTATTATTATTATTATTATTATTACTATTATTATTGCAAATGAAGCGCGTTTTTTTTGTGTTCGGACTTTCAAGAATATACTTTTTTGGATTTGGTTTTTGGACTTTTTTAAATTACTCATCATATAAATGGTTCAGGTCGCTTCTTCTAACTAATTTATGAGGAAGCCTTTTTATGAATTTGAGGTAGAGAGGGAAGGAATGATGTTTCTACGTTTATTTGTGTTTTATACATCATTTTTACCTACAGGAAAAAAAATTTCTCAATTTTTAATGGACTCTTTTACTTATTTTTTTTATTTGCCATGGTGAGGTGAGTTCTTTTTTGTTATAACTTGAAACCTATGCAAATTTACATTAATTTTCATTCTCATATTTGTGATCAACCAGTTTCAACAATTAATCAGTTTCAAAATCATATTTTTGATATTTTACTAGCTATAAGCCTTTGGAAGAAACAGTTCCAACAATTAAACGTATACCCTTCGGAGGAAGCTTACTACAAAGCTATTATAAATCTCCAAAACCAAGTATTGATTTGACACGACAAATGGAGAATATCAATAAATCATCTTACTAATATTTAAACTTATTAGGATAATTTTATATTTTGTCTAACATTTACTTCAAGTGATATACTTGATCAAGTTTATTTATATTTAACAACTAACAATTATAAAACATTTCTAAAATATTCAAACATTTCTAAAACGTACCGGGCCAAATACACTTTTCTTTTTTTGCCAAATACAAACATTTCTATGATCAAACTTATAAAACATTTCTAAATTCTTCAAACATTTTTAAAATATATTGGGTCAAATGCAAAATAATTTTTTTTCAAATACAAATATTTCTAAAATCTACAGATATACTGGGCCAGGGTCGCGCGTTGCGCAACCAGACATCACTAGTATATATATAGAGAGAGAGAGAGAACAAATTCTTTTCAATTATCTATCTTACTTTCATAGAAGATTTTGATATAGTTAATTAATGTATTTGTTTTTCCCTCATCATTTCCCCTTCTTTTTAACTTTTCTCCCACCACGTCAACGGTCAACCTTTAAGACCCTAATTGTCGAGATATAGTATTTATGTATTATTGTATTTCAATACAATTTCGCACTCTTTCAAGCAAAAAGGGAAAAAAAAAAAAAGAGTATATTGTTAGTGCAAAAGAAAAAAAAATAAAAATCAATTAATCTGGTTGTTGAGGTTAACGAGAATGAGACGGCATAAATGGGAAGGAAAATGATCCACGTAGCCTCTGGCATGTTTTTGAATATTCAACAAAATTTCCTTACACACAGTTAAAATGGTTCAGCTCGCAAATCAATTCAAAGTCCTAGATAAATGTTTGTATTTGCGATTAACGGGAACTACATTGATAAAATTTTCAATGAATTATAAATTGTGTTTTCAAATATATATATATATATATATATATATATTTTTGTCAATAGTTGTTGCTCCAATTTGTGAGTTCAATTTTATCATGGTCATAAAGAAGGGAAAGGATAAACATACTTCCTCCGTCCCATAATTATTGTCCAATTTTATTAAAATAAAAGATTTTATTTTTGGTCAAACTTAACTATATTTTACCTTAAACAACCGGACATACCCTTACATAAGTAATTTTTTACTAAAGACAAATGTGTAACTTGATCCATAAAAAGTCAAATTGGACAATAATTTTGGGACAAAATTTTTTGAGCAAAGTGGACAATAATTATATGACGGAGGGAGTATTAGGTATATTCAAATTCTATTAAAGGATAAAATAGACAATTAAGCAAATTTGCTCTCTCTATAGAATTATTGCTCTCAATTTATTAATTACCTAAAATAAATAGCTGTCATGACATGAATGCTATATCTTGTTTTTAGAGTAATTTTTAGAAAATTTGAAGAAATATATTTTTTTTTTTAGCAAAATATGAACTTATGTTTCATATGGCATATACAAACAAGACTTTGCTCTTCTTTTTCAGCCATATGCTGTGATTTGGGATTTGCTTCTATTGAATGTCATTCCGTGTGAAATGCAATCTTCTTTTGTTGTATCGAGATTCTTTTATTCTTCCTACTAGAAGTGCAACTCATGGACAAACAATTCCTTTATACAACGACTGATAGTTTGGTGCTACTAATTCTACAAACACTTTTTTACTACTTGCGGCCTTGTGGATTTCAATGTTACTACGCGGTAAAAATCTTAGATGTGTTGTTGACTTCTAGCCGGCAGCCTGACTGACCTAAGTGCTCTGCTCTGCACATATGAAGAGAGAGCTGACCCTTCCTTGATAGTATTTTTACAGATGGCTGTCCAGAAAGAATTTGATACTGCTCTGTTTGAATTCCCCCTCAAATGCAAACGTTTTGCAGGTTCATACAAAATCGTTCTTTGCCGAGTTTTGTACTGTGCTAACACTTCACACGCTTATACTGCTTGGCTCGACTGTGTGTAATCGTACACCAGAGAAACACCTTCATGAAGAGACATCAAACAAAATTATCATTGGCTGCAACAAAAAAATGAATCGGTTCTCCAACCTAGATGCATTTTATGCACGGAATAATCTTTGTTTCACTCTAGGTATTCAAAATCACTAAACTTAACACAAATTGTACACCAGAATATACATTTACATTTACCGCTTTTTGTTGTCAGACATTGCTCGAACTTTGTTGCCCACTACGTATCTATTTACGTTGAGTATAACTCGGCCACAGCATTTTCCAGCATTTTTATCCTATTTTCCATCTCACCAAGCCAAAGCAATTTCTGCAGGATATGAATATTGAGTTGAAATCTACCACAATTGCTTAAACTTGCTCTCCTTGATGACATCCATAGATGATATAAATCTCTAGTGCAACGGCAGTTTACTCTGAGAAATTCTAATCACTTGAAAGTTTTGATCGCCTGTAAACGGCAGCATTTTCATATCCTTCATCAAAGTCAAAGTCGTCTTCACCATAGTCCATTTCAGTAACAACCCTATCATCAAGAAACTCTTCGGGATCAGATGAATCAGCGTGGGTGCCTTTTCCCCTTTGAGGCGACATTTCGGATTCCATCAGTTGAACTTCGGATTCTATCAAAGCTTGCATCTGAGCGCGTTCCCTATCTCTAGGGTAGGTTTTGTAGAGAAAAGAGTAGATGAAGCAACACAAAGCCATTGGAATCCCAATTGCAGTGTAGAGTGCTTTGGCCAAGGATCTAGCATTCTCTCTATCTGTTGCTATATGTTCAGAACCCTCGGGAACCGGTTTGTAACCAAAGACATGCTGAGCCAACACTCCCACAACAGGTGGGGCGAATGATGATAAGACAGACTCAAAGGACCGGTCCAATGCATATATACTTGTTCTCGACTTCTCAGGGACAATCTCTGCAAAAATTGGACTGTACAAAGCATCACTACAATATTTTATCTTCTATTCAAAATAAAGGACTCGCTGCAATTATTGTAGAAAACATTCCTAAACCATACTCTTTCCCCCTAACCCAAACTCTGTGAAGCCAGGAGGCAAAATTTTCACGCATGTTGATATATAATAAGTATATATATAAAATCACTAAGCCATTTATAAGTTCATCATGAAGAATGGGCAAACGACTGCTTATATTTGTTTCACTGAAGAGGTCAAAATTATTACTAGTGCATTTCAATTCAAAACAAAACAGATTTACTTTAAAGTGGCACAAAGAAAAGTGACACCAACACAGAAACCAGCCCAAAATGCAGAGAAATTATTAGGAGCAGAATAAGCCGCAAAAGCATCTAGTGACCTAATCAGCTATATGTCAGAAACTAAATCAATAGCATATAAATGCAAATAGCGAGAAATGAAACAAAGTTTGCATAGTTTCTTTACTTGTTTGTGGCTGGAGCATTCCATGAAATGCAAAAACCAGTGATGGTCATCATCAAACCATAGACGAAAGTTGCAGATGGGTTCTCTGGCAATCCTAACAAAAGAATAGCTGTGAGTGGGATAGCTGATCCAGAACTTATTTGAGATAGAATAATCCTGCCAGAATTCGGGAGTTTCAATGAAAGCACATCACCCATCATGCCTCCAAAAAGCCCTCCCAGAGAATTTCCAGATATGAACAAGCCAATGAGAATGGCCGTTTTAGAGTGAGAAAAGCCTGTAAGCTCCAACCACATAGGCGCAAATGATAAAGCAGACCACGGAAATGAGCCAGTCACACCTTGTGCGACGATGATCTGGAAAGATTGGATTCTTATAACCACTTTGGCTTCTTTAATCAAATCTTTCATTTCAGACCTGATTGTCTTCGAAGGAACTTCAATGCCGACTCTCTTTCTCCCATAAGAAAAGTGAGGATCATTGGCAAAGAAGCGAACCAAAAGACCCACAATAACACTAATGATTCCAACAAGGTGGAAGGAAATCCTCCAGCCCGGGATACCCAACAACGTCACTGGAGCTATCAACAATGACAATAGTCCACCAAGTACCGATCCAAGATTGCTGGTCACCTGCAGCCACCCAAAAGCTGTACCGCGGTGGGCATCATCAGTTGAATCCGCGACGAGGGATTGAATAGCTGGCGCAACTATAGCAAGACCAATTCCGTTCAGCGCTCTAGAAATTGCCACCTAATCAGGGGAAAGACAACAAGCTTACAAAGGGCACAGATAGAGCTATAGTACATAAGCACTATCTAATCTGAAAAAACATTTACAAAAAAGTGTATCACTTCAATATGTATAAACATTGCAGCTTAATGAAAGTCCGTCATCCAAATCTTTGATCATTGACCTTTGCATGAACAATGTGTCACCTGTTCTAGCCCATTCCAGTTGTCCAACTATTTAACCTTCTAATTAAGAGAAAAAACAGAGTCACAGTTCTTAATACGAACCGCTCTCACAATTTGTTACTTTGCAAAAATATAGGCCATGAATTGAGCAAGTTGATATGTGAACAAATCCAACACTTAGCCCAAATTGTTTCCAGAAAACTAATCATCAGAAACATTATAATATCAAAATACAGGTAACATCATATTTCTTTGATATGAAAAGCCACATTGATGATAATAATACAACAGATGTCACATTCCACCGCTACATATACTTGTCATTACGTATGAAAGGAAAGAAATGCCCAATAGTAAATCAACCACAGAAGTAGTAGAACTAATTCGAAAAGATATAAAGGATCAAGGGTATTTGCAGAATTAATCAAACCTCAAAGTAGGAAGAAGAGAAGGCGACGAGGAAAGTAGCAGCAGACCAAAGAAAAGCACCGTAAGCGATGACGTGGGCGCGGTTATGGCGAACGGCAAGGTAAGTGGCAAGCGGGTAACAGAGGGATTGAACCATTGATCGGAAAAGGGTCAAAGCTCCGAGTCCGGCCGGGCCGGTGTGAAGTGCTTCCCCAACCTCCTTGTACACTCCGGGTAACAGCGATTCATCTGCCCTTTCCATAATTCCGGCTAAATTAACGAGTACCAATGTTAACGTTTCGGCTTTCATTTCTTCAGTTATTCCCCTTTTTAACCAAACTCTATTGAGTTTGAGGGCGTATACAGGGGGTAATTAGCCCTAATTATGATCGGAATTTGGGAGATGGGCTTGGCGAAGGGGGCGGAGGGCCGCGGAGTAGGAGGAGGAGGTCGAAGGTCGGAAGTTGGAAGTGTCGGAAAACGTTTGGCGGCGGATGACAAATGGCAGTTGCTGGAGTGGTGGGTCCAACAGACTGGGTCAACGTTTATCTCAGTCAATGCTACCTTGGCAGTTCTGTTCTGTGTTAGTTTGTCAAACTTCAATTACTATTTTATACTAGTATCATTCCCAATAAAATAATTAATTTTAGACATTAAAATTGTACTTATGAAATTTATATCATCCTAAAAATTACTAGGAAATTAATAAATAGACATTAATTCCAATCATTTCTTCCATTTTGAATGCGAAAAGTCATCCCATTCAAATACTTTTGTTTTCCGAATTGAACTATTTTTCGAGTGTGGATGTTATTCGTTTACATTGTCTTTAGAGAAGAGTATTTTGCAGGAGATTTTTGGCCTCATGGACAACAACGTTTCCTACGGAATTTGCGATATTTGATGACTCGCCCTAAGTAAGAGCATGACGTTGTTTTCTAAATACATTTTATCTTGGGTTTTAAGCTTTTAACCCTTTACTGTTGCACCAAAAGAAAACATATACGTATTATTTTCAGCTCAATCTTAATGCGTTCTTCTTTTTCTTTTCTTTTTTTTTTTTATAGAGCAAGCATTGTCCAAATTTATGGAACTTCACTGGAAAGCAATTGGTTTCATATGACCTTGTTTTTTGAAAAAAAAGGTACTTGTATATTAGATTAGGGAAAGATATCTGAGCTATTACATTGCATTATACTATATGCTAAATTATGCAATTCTTGAATATCATATTTACTTACTTTTAATAGAGTATATGATTGAAATTGGGAAATTAACCGGTGCAGCCGGATCATTACTTCTTGGTCTCTGTCGGAAAATCCGAGATTCGTTGAGTTTTGATAATAGCTTCACAGTCTGTGTGCACAACTATCTTTAGTAAGTCAAAAGACCAAGCCTCTTAGAGCACAAATAAACACTTCAGTGCCTCAGTTTGGCACTGACAAAGAATGGATTAGTTTCATATGAACTTCTTAAGCATATTGTTAAAATCGTCTTTGAATTTGAAAATATGCGACACATTAACTAACATATAAATCACATGTGTAATCTTCTTATTTCCGATTGGTTTTGAGGTAAAATCACATATGAACTTACATGAACATGAACCTTTAAAACAAACATTGATACGAATGTTGTAATTGGTTGCATTAGTGAGTAAACCAGGATAATTGCGCACGAAACTCCTTATGAAGATGATACAATTGATGAAGGACGTCTTTTCAACTGATGATATCTTCATTAATAAATAAAAAAAAAAAACTGATGATATCTTCATTGAGGATTGACCCGAATAGTAAAAACAAATTAAAAAAATTTACTTAATTGTAGGGAGCACCAAATTCCATTAAAAACTACAACATAATTTTTGTTCTGGACAAGAATTGGACAGAGATTTTTCGGACAGGTAATCGGAACCCCTCCAGCTGAATCACATAGTAAGAGGGTTGCTTAAAATATGGCGGAAGTTGCATGTTTGATATAGAATGCGAGGCGCTGATCACAAAAGTGTCAAAACTAGAACGTCATGCCTCTTGCGTATCAAAATAATGTAGCTTGTGTATTGGGCAGATTAATTTGGCCCGAAACCCAACCATCATCTATTGAGGTCAAACTAAAACATCGGTCGGAGATGGTATTATGGCCTATTGCCGTCGATGTTGAGCTGCTGAGCGCATGAGCCCGGACCAGGATCGGCGGAGACATGGTGAGAAATGATTACCTACTCCAACAAAAAGTGCCACATGGATAATCCCCTCCTTAAATGACGGATTATAGCGTGAGATTTGACATCCTCCTTCGTCAAAAATAAAAATAGAAAATAAAGAGAAAACAATGAACATGAGCTTTGTTTTTTTTTTTAGTTTTTTTTTTTAAATACGTTTTTTAGGCAGGCATGTATGTAACTACTATTTTGATAATTTAAAAACTAAACTGAATTGTAAACGATGGTAGAAGGAAAACTTTATCATATCCTTAAACATAGATCTCGATTGGAAAATTGTGAACCGGAAAAAGGCAATATTTTTTTGAACAATAAAATCGAATTAGGTAAGCAATTGTTTAACATCACATAGTGGCTTAATAGGATTAGACAAAATTTATATCTAAGCGGTATTGAGAATACTTCGTCCTTTCAAATACCTGTCTCTAGACATTAAGACAAGCGTCTCAAAGATCACCTAAAAATAAATTCAAATATATAATCATTATGATTCTAACCCAATGATTACTGAATCTCCACCCCCACCATGACTACGATTTTGAGATACATATTTTAAATTTGTTATTTTAAGGGAAACGGAGTTCAATTACAAATACATATACATGCACAATTTTTATTTACTGACATGAAAGGGGGGAAAAAATAAAAAAGATTAACAAGTAAAAGTAGAAGTAGTAGTACTGAAAAGGAAGATATTGATCATTATGACAACTTAAAATCCCAATAATAAAGTGTTCATTTTTGCTTGCCGGCCGATCGAAAAAAAGGAATATAATTTCAAGTTCCGATGCAAGTCACAAACACAATAATGAAAAGGTTGAAAAATCCAGCAAAAGAAAGATATATTCTGAAAGAGGTGGAAATTACTCGATTGCTCTCCTATTTTCACAAAATCACAAAGCCAAAAAAGAAAAGAAAAAGAATTGAAGAAAAACTTTTTAGATTCTCTAAGGGGGGCAAAAGAAAAAGGGTTATTAGGTAAAGCCCAGAAATGTTGCATCCCCGACGTCAAATCTTTGGGAGAAAAGATTATAAGTAAGTTAACAAGTACTTTTCCGACGCACAATTTGATTAGAAAGGCGAAAAAACAATTGTGGGGAACAAGTGGGGTTTTTATGAAAATCACGTATCAGCCTCTTCAGACAGTCACATACTATCTATTCATTCCATATCCATACTCTTAATCTTTTTTTTTTTTAACTATCTATACATCGTCATTTTTTTTTTCAAAACAAAATAGAGATAAATTTTTTTCACAAATTATTTTTATTTTTTTGATAGAAAAAATTCTTCAATATAAAATAAGACTTTGACTCGAATGAGATCGATGATTATTAAAATGAGAGGCCAAAAACATTATTAATCGTAATATTTTTTTTACGTTCGCCGTTATTTAAATATTAATCTTCATGGGTTGTGTTTTTATCCGCTGAAACTTGAACGTAAATTCTATGGACAGGTAGTTTCTTCATTAATCTGATTCCTAAGATACAAATTTGGATCTTTATCTTGCAAATAGAATCGGAAATGTACAAGTACTGTTAACCAAAAAAAAAAAGAAAGAAAGAAAAAGAAATATACAAGTACTAAACGGAAAGGGTCATCGGCCCCTAGTTTTAATTCTTTTTTAACTTTTTATTTCCTATTAACTCAAAAAAAAAAACATTTGTTTCCTAAGGACTTCATTTGGGGAGGGATATCTAGAAACAAAATAATGTTGTTGAATGAAATTTGGTCAAACCACAGTACGAAACTGAACTGGAAATCTTGGATTCAGTTCACAATTAATGAAGACTTTTGACGCAAAATTTTTGAGCACAAATAGTGTAGGTGCAAGTATATAAATGGCTTTTGGTCCAAACTGTAAACCATACTCATCCTATGGTTACAATAACAGCTTCATGTGGTCACAACTTAATTAGGCGACATGATTTGTGGAGAGAGTTTATACGTCATCTTACATTTTATTTTACCACTTAAAAGTAGAAAGTATTTCAAGTTGAAAATTAAATAGGAAATGAAAATGTTGTTTGGATAGTATTTTGAGCAAAAAGTTGTTTGAATATTGGTTTTGAAAAAAATATTTTAAACTATATTTTGAAAATATCAAGTACGAGTTATCACTAAATAATTAAATACTATCAATTATAGTCACTTCAAAAATGAACTTTTCCAAAAACAATCACTTAACAACGGAATCCTACCAAATTTGTCACTGAACTATTTGTAGTTCTAAAACGGTCATTACACTAACAAAAAGTGTTTCAAGTTGGAATTTGAAATGTAAATCAGAAAGTTGTTTGGACGATGTTTTCTTTTCTATTAGGTTTTGTATTTAAGAAGTAAAATGAGTTAAAATGTAAAATAGGTGCTTGTCCAAACAAAGCCAAACTTTCGATTCGTATTAGTCAGGATAATAGTTTGAAACCCGAATTAAGTATAACACGGAAAAGATTTATGGTGTGACATGTCCTTGGATTGTATCAAACAACCAAATTAAGAAATTAAAGCCAATCTTAAACCACGATGGAAATTGGTCCATATATGGACGCCATTGGACTGGTCTAAAGGATGATCTGTCTGCGTCATTTTCTTACTTACTAACATCACTGCTTACGTTTCTATAAGATCTAGTGCACTAATGAAGACCATATATATATATAGACGCTGAAATGGAAGCCTCACTAGAAAAAAAAACCTTGTAACAAAAACAAGTTTGTGGTAGTGTATAATTCTTTAGGAGACAAAACTGACATAAAAAGTTGAAACAATAATTTCAGTTAGAATAATTATTCATCTGTCCTCTAATGTTTGTGCTCACATTTGGAACTCAATTTCTTTTCATTCTTGTTTCTTTTTTTTCAGAATAACATAATAATATCTGTTCCATCAAAGCATAAGCATATTTTTTTTACATTTTCAATACATCTTTTTACATTTCCAATACAAAAAAATATCTAAATATACACATAAAAAAACGAAACAAGCATACTTAAGGGTTTGATATTGCACATATACGTTTAACAACCTCTATTTTAACATCCGGAACTTTTTCTTACAATGTAATCACTCTGTTCTTATGATATCTATAAGATATAATATTTTAAATTAAATTAATTAATAATCCCAACATCAAACTTATGAGCTGAGAATTTGCACCCAAGAACAGGAGTTTATAAATTCCACTGACTTGACCGTCAACTATCCTAGTTAATTGTTGCTTTTGTAAACAAATCATTGATGGTGACGGCATCAAATATTATTATGCACCTCACAAGCCAAAGCTGTAGAGTAAAATTTGGCGATTTGAATCTGAATCGACTTTCTGTGGTCGCTACTATTTATTATTCAACAACAGAAGTATAAGAATATAGTGATGGATACCTAACTAGAAGGTGATCGTTCCTGCTAACAACCATTGAAACATGTCTTTGGGAATTTTTTTTTTTTTTCCTAAAAACATAGTCTATATAAATTTTGACATTTCTATTATTTTTAGCACAATTTCAAAAAAAAAAATCAAAATTTAATATGGACTATAAAATTTTAAATAAAAATAGGGAAAGTACAATATATAAAAATAGGGAGTATATGGTATCGTTTACTCAATATCTTGTTTATATTATACTCTTTTGATCTGATTTTACACAGTACAACTCAAAATCAAATTTAGTTCGAAATGTATCTTATGAATAGAACAAGAAGAAATATATATCAAACTAGCTTGTTTTGTGCTCTAGGCTTACTAATACTTTTGATTACTTTTGATTGATTCATCAATCATCATGTTTCTTGTTAGCCTTGCCTAAATCATATATATCTCGTTGGTTGATCGAAACCCATTTTGTCATCTTCATAAGGACAAAAAGATTAGATAAAACTCCGAGAAACACAAGACGGAAAGATGTATGCATGTACATCACCACAATTAAATACGCACATGAGAATCATGAAACGATATTGCATTTGTCACTACTCGAATCTATGTGTTTAGAGTTTGAACGAGCTTAATTACTCTCAAATGTAACAAGTAAAGATTAGTTTTTATTTAGGTGAAAAATATATAACTACATATTTAATTTACTATTATAGAAGGTAAAATTTTAAAACTCTTAAAATAAAACACAGAAGATGTAATCGTCACGTTACTGTAATTTTGCATGTATGCATACATCAAGAGTGTTCTTCGGCCACAACTATATATGTCATCGTATTTAAACCATTTTATAGAATCTCATGAATATACCACCACCTTAAATGGATTGTTGCTCGAGAATGTTATTGTTGGCAAGTTGAGTGCGTGTGTGCGTGTTTCCAAGAAGCTCAGCCGGCCAAAAAATTGGATGAATCGAGAATACAATTATGAAAGATGGATGGATATAGTACTGAGGGAGGGAAATGAAAAGATGATGATCATCATTGCAAAAAAAACCAGAGAGATTGCACCATAAAAGGGGCCACCATAATACATATATAGTTGATCCCATAAAGAGGGATTGTCACATGTCACTATATATATTCTCGAAAATGTCTTAATCCTCCTAAAAATCTCGTTTCTAATCATGTCACTTTTATTATCCTCCTCTTGACTGTTTACAGGACTTATTATTAAGCAATTGAAAAGTTTATTATTGTATACTCATTGTTTTATTCTATTTTATAAGCTTTCTTTTTTTAAAAAAAAAACTTCCGTTTTTACTAGTATTTTATACTCCCTCCATTCCATAATTATTATCCAGTTTGGGTTTTCATTTTTAGTTCAAATTGTACTAAAAATGAAATTTCAAATTGGACAATAATTTTGGGACAGAGTGAATAATAGTTGTATTTAACCCTAGATTCCTCAATCATTTCTTGCCATATTTCACTTTTCCCGAACTCTAAACTCTCTTCTTCCAACTCAAATGAATTTTTTTGCAATATTCACAATGGAACATCCAGAGTCAAAACGGTAAAACTGTAATTTGTGTTAATTATGTCATTCCACCGATGGACACAATTGACGTAAAATAACAACAATGAAGTTATCATCGATTTGTAACTACTGTTTATTTGATTTTTACAGTCAAGATCACAAGACTATGCCAAAAAAAAAAAAGACGACACCCAAAATTTTTTTTGCTCTTTTCTTCACATTTTAAAAGTTGTTTTAGATTAGTTTAAATGATCTTTTCATGTGATAAATGTGAGTGCCGGGTGCTGCGTCAATCACTAATAGTAGTCTTATTTTATGTTTTATTCCTCCAAAAAGTTAAATTAATTTGGCACATCTAATAAAAATTTGGTCATCTACTCCTAGCCTGACATAGCCCCAAGTAAGACGCAATAAAAATTTCTCCTGTACTTGCAATTTGACCAAATACCTTCCTATTGGATGATAGTGGGGGACAATATTTGTAGCATATATTTAATTGTAGCTTTTATAGTTTGTTTAATGTGATTTCTAGAAGGAATAAAGTCTATCTTTTGTGTTAATCACATACTTTACAGTATGAATAATCTTGTTTAGTTCACACATGTAAATAAGGCTGAGCTACTCGTGCTTATAATATTTGGGGACTTGATCAGTAGACATTTATGAAATTATACTTTTTATATCCCAAAATGACAGTTTAAGTTGATTTAATTAGTACATCTTGGAATGCATGAGATCTTGATTAGGATTTATACGTGAACGCTAACAACTGCGAATACTAACATCATATTTACACTAGTCATTGCTAAATACTCCCTCCGTCCCAAAATCATTGTCCAGTTTGAGATTTCATTTTTAGTATATTTCCATATAAAGGAGTTAAAGCGGGGTAATCAATTACTCCCTTCGTCCTATAATTATTGTCCAGTTTGATATTTCATTTTTAATATAATTTGAACTAAAAATGAAACCTCAAACTGGACAATAATTATACGACAAATACTAAAAATGAAATTTCAAACTAGACAATGATTATGAGACGAAGGGAGTAATTGATTACCCCGCATTGACTCCTTTATATGGAATGGAAGTGATAAACTAGTTTAATAAGCATGAATATTACGTGATTGAGTCCTTTCCTCAAAATCGTTCGGTAAATATGTTATCACAAAAAAAGGACAAGAAGAGATTAAGAAAGTCAAAAGGTGTAATATGTCACGATAAATGCTTCCTCTGGTCAGTAGCAGAATTTTCTTTAAATTACTTATCACACAAAAAAAAAAAAAAAGAAAGAAAAATTCACATAGAAGAACAAATGCGTAATTTGAGATATTGGTTTTTTTTCTCCATATAAAAAAACATTCAAAAAACTAAACACGATCTTTGGAATAGAAGTCTTCACTATATCAGATGAATGGATAATTTCACGAGCAATGAAAGTCAAAATCAATGAAATCATGGTCCTCTAACCTCGTACTAGCTATTATCATTAATCAAAATGGTTGAACAAGAGATTAAGCTCTCGATGAAGTAATAAACAAGAAGATAAATTAGAGTTAAACAAAATAAATAAAAAAATTATTTTATTCTAAACAATAGTCCAAATTGAGTTTTGACATTTTGCATTAAAAATTCACATAAATTTCACGACTAAATGTAAATTATTTTTTAGAGAGTGGGACTAAATTATACTTTGCCATTCGACAAAGGCTTTCAAGGCGGCCAATGTGGGAGTCAAATGGTGGTATTTGGTGTAGTGGTAAATATCCAGCATATTGACTTATAATCGTGTAAACTGAGACAGAAAATGTAATCTCTAATGCAAAATAAAAGGAACCCAACTGATGAAAAATTTTAGAGGAAATAAATGAACAAGACATCATAACTATGTAATAAAAAACCGAATAAAGAAGGAAGAAATGAAATTGATCAATGATCAAAGTTATTAAGAATAAATACACATGTTTTGATCGTCAGAGAAACACATATATTTGACACTAACACATGATTTTCTCTAAGACTAAAAAAACCCTCATGTTTTGCTTCATATATATTCCTAATGTAAAATTTTAAGTTGTGTACAGTAAAAAAAACTAATGAAATAATTTAATCAGAAGGACAAATCCATGATCCCACTGTACCTTCCCCTCCTGAAGTGACATTCTCCAAACCCTTATCATGATGATGAAGAAACTCTGATGTTGTTGAAGCTGAGCAATTAAACTTAGAACTATAGTTTCCCATTGCAGAAGAATTTTGGAATAACCCAGTACTACTATTATCCAAGCTTGCATTCACATTCACATTCTGATCATGGCGGCCTAATCCCAACTCATCAAAAGAAGGAACCACACCACTTGTATTGTTGTTACTACTAATCCCCTGTGATTTCCCAGTAAGCATGGATGATGGCTGCTGTTGTTTAAGTGAAGGGTGTTGAAGAAAAGAAGGAATTGCAGCAGAGGAATTTGAAGAATTGTTGTTATTGTTGTTATTCCCTTGAAATGAAAGCATCTGATTCTGCATGTTCAAAGCCATTCCTGAATTGGTAGAACTTGAAACCAGAGAATCAATCATAATACTTGATGAGTTCAACAGTGAAGGCGTTGGAGAAATCTGATTATGATGAACCTTTTGTGCTGATGGCCTTAGAGGATAAAGTGGCCCGAGTGAATCCAAATGCCCAGCTGCCGATCTTATGTTTGATTGCAATCCTGTTCCGGCACCGGAGAAAAGATCAAGCCTTCTTGAATATGGGGATCCAGCAGAAAAAGGGGCGGTCGGAATCCCGGTAAATTCCTGAACCATTTGCCGGAAATTGGTCGTATCCGTGGTCAGAACTGTTGTGGGAGCCCGCCGGGATGCTCTGGTTCGCTTTTTGGGATTTTTCGCCGTGTTTGGCTGGTGATGATGATCCGGTTGGATTCCTCCGGCGGCAGAAGAAGCCTTATTAGCAGCATTATTTGCATCAATGGCGGGCTGAGACTGATGAAGGCCAGCTTGAACATTAAGAACAGTTTGCTGGCTTGATGACGAGACGGATGAAATATTCCCAAAGTTGTTTGGATAATTGTTGTTGCCGGGATCGGATCTTAAGCCTCTGGACCAGAGCAATTGATCGTTCTGATGACGGTTTCCGAACTGATTCGTGTTGTTCCCACTTGGGTTGCCCAGTGTTTGCTGAAAAGCATCCAGATTTTGATGATTGAACAGAGTGGGTGGCGCGTGGGACAGAAGTTGCGGCGGCGCCGCCGGCTGCTGTGTATCAGAAATTGAACCAAAATGAGCGGATGAATTCAGGAAAGACGAGATGGATTCACTCCGGGAATCATACTCATCTTCTCCGCCACTTGAAGACTGCATACTCCCACTATTACCGGAATCCATAACTTCTAAACCAAAAAACAGGACAACAAAAGGCTAAGCAGAGAAAACAGAGAATCTCTTCCAGTAACAAAAAAAAAAGAAAATTAGAAAAGGAATAAAACCCTTCAGAAATGGATATATTTAGGAGGGGAAGAAAAGAAAAAATCTACTCATATCATTGTCATTTCTTGAACTGAAAGGCTTTTTTGATGAACAAATACAAAAAAAAGGGGGACCAGACCAAAACTAGATTAAAATAATAAGATCAAAAACCAGGAAACAAAAAGAGAAGCTATTAGCTCATGGGAGTTGGGACTAAGTTCTTCTTCTTAGGATACATGAGATCATGATGATGAAGTAGTCTTTGAGAAGAAAGAGGGAAAAAAAAAAGAAGAAATGGAAGAATGAGAGATTATGAAGCTTTTATGGAAGCTTCAAAACAAAGAGGAAAGGGTGGTTTTTTTCCTTTTCTTTTTTTCTTTTTTGAGGTTATGGTTTAGCCATAGCCACTAGAAAAGAAGAAAGGGAGGAAGAAAAATGAAAGAGAAAGGGGAAAAAGAGAGTGGGTGGGGTCTAATCCAATTTGGAAGAGGGGGGAAGCTGAGAAGCTGCCGGTAGGTGGCAACGGGTCAAACTCAAATAAGAGAGATTTGAGAACTTTGTTTGGTGTTTTTGAGTGTGAAAGCAAGAAAAAAGTAAAAAAAAAAAAAGAAGAAGAAAATGTTGAGATTAAAAAAAAAGTTCTTTAAACTATATAGCATAAATGAGCGGGACAATTGAATAGTTAGTAGTACGATGATAAAGAGTGAAAAGAGAAAGAGAAAATAGTGATATGAAGGGGAAAAAAAAAAGAAATATTTTATCCGTAATTGTTAGGTCAAGCGATTACGAGTTTAGAAAAGTATTTAATCTTCAGATCACGAGCACGAAATTTTCGAAGCAAAGCCACCATGTTGGACTGCCTAACTCATTGAGAAGGGTCTGACTCGAATAGAAATTAGTTATGAATGTAATTTGTACGTGATTATAACAGCGTTTGAATTATGGTTATCTATCAACTTTGTGCCAAGTGAGAAAGGGGAACAGTATAAAAAGAAAAGGCAAAGGTAGGCAACTGAACTTGAAATTTAGATGGCCTAAAGGGTGGTTGGTGTGAATTGTGAAGAGAAAGATGGATGTTACAAAGTGAAACAGTTGTTGGTACCACCATAGCCACCACCTCTGCCGCCATATCTACCACCCTTCTTTGAGTTGTTGTTGATGTTGTATCAAATTATTCTTTCGCTTCGTACCTTTTCCCTTGAATTTGTCAAAAGGGAAAAAACGAACGAAAATTGCCAAAATCAAGCTAACAACAAAGTGTGTTTCATTTATGATTTCCATTGAGCTTATTAGGCGTCCAAATTAATCTAGAATCCCAAAATGCGTCGTCTCTTTTGTTTGTGTGCCTAATTCATTAAGGGGAAGGGATATATATCATGATTATACTATCATAGTTTCATTGACTACAAAATTCAGGGATGCGGGGTGCGTATGAAAATCATAAACAATTACTCCCTTATCTCAAAAAAATCGAGTGAGATGTTTTTTTTTTAAAAAAAAAAATGTTAAGAGGATTAAATATAATCCTAGTATTTTAGATTAATTGAGTTAATTTGCTCGCTTTCTTTTTCTCTAGAATCTAGATACCCGATTATTATTGATATATTACATTGACCAGAGCTAGAAATATGAATCCGGGTCGTTAATATTGTGCCGGTGAATTCTATACAGGAACTCGACCCATCAAAGTTGAATAATGCAATGTTTTTTTTGGGGGTCAAATTTCCAAGCGAGCTCTTCACGGCAAACTTTTATGGTCAGTATACTATAAAAAAAAAAAAAAAAGAAAGAAAGATTTGTTTTCGTTTCCAATTCGAGAATGAAATGTTAGAAAACACAAAAAGAAAAAAAAAATAAATTTGTGAAAGTCGGATGTATTGATTGAGTTTTAAACACGAGTTGGGACTAAAGTGTAATCATTATTTTTACTAGCTGCTGTATTATCATTTAGTGAGTCACCATAACTGTGTGTTTCTTCAACAAAGATAAGGGTAAAAAATGAAAAGGCTAAACAGTAATTTCTTGTATAATTTTCTCTGCCTGCTGGATAGCCTCGGTCTTTTGACTGGGTCGACGGTGCAGGAGAGAAGCCCAGAAATTCTGGTCGTTCAATTAGAAAAATAAAACAAATTGTCAAAAAAGCCATAATTGAGAGCAACATCAAAGGAATCTTTTACTGCCCACATCCCCCAAGAATTATAAGACCTTTTTAGACTTATACAGTCTATAATTACCCTATTCTTTTTTATATATATTCTTTCAAAATTTCTTACGTTTGCATTTGGGAGACAGTACGTATGTGTATCTAGCTATAAATTGCAGGTTCATGAACATTGTTCTTTAATAAATAGTACTACTTTGGATTTCCATAATTTGTAGGCTGCATCACTGCACTAAGAGGTTTCAACTATGTCACGTTAAGGGTATGTTTGTTTCGATTTTTTAGTGCGTGTTTTTAAGTATTTTTTGTATTGGAAGTGTAAAAAAGTGTATTGAAAATGTAAAAAGGTATGATCGGATGTGACAATTATTATTATTTAATTATGAAAAAATCAATTAAAAAAGAAAAGAAACAAAGCCTAAAATTTTGTAGTAAGAAGTTTGAACTTTGAATAATGATTTTGGTGTTTTTACTTAAAACTTTAGTTCACTCCAGTTCCAAGGCTCTTGAAGTTAATTACAGCCATGTACCATACATTTTATGCTTTTCTTTTTTTTTTTTTATTACAGATTTGATATATCCGTGGAGAAGTGACTTTTACTATTGATCGTTTAGCATCCTCACAAGTACTCTTTATGATAAATATAACGGTTTAATGATCCGTCAAATGTAATCCTTCACATGTAGTTTTTTTTCCCCAAGATTAATCATACTCTTACTGTTTCAAAAAAATTATACAAATCTTAAACTTAATGTGGAATATATATATATATATATATATATATTGAGATGGGATAGTATGATTTTGTATTGGTTTTCAATTTTCGTAAAATACCACTTTCTAAGCGTATAAGAAAGAACTAGATGCTTGCCCCGGGCGAATGCCCGGGATGCTGCCTGTATTTTTAAATCGATTAAATAAAAAAATACGAATCATTCTTAAAAGAATAAAAAAATAAAAAATAAAAAATCGATTGAAAGGACAGAAAGTGAGTTATTATACATAAATCTATGTGCAGATTTATAACATTTAATTTACAACATTTAACTTATATCCGGGTTTACATAAATCATAAACCAATATCTACAACAGAAGAATAAAAAAAATCATCCTTAAAAAATCAAATTTCTTTCATGACAGCTTATTTTTTTTTGTTGTAGAAATAGATGCATTGATAATTAATGTCAGATTTTAAGTAATTGATTTAAAGGCCCGGGTGTGAGAGAGGAGCGAAATGGAAGATATTCTTTGAAATTGGGGATTGGGAAGTCATTATTGTGTTTCACTTGATTTAAGGGGATTTCCTTACATTTGATTTTATTAATTAAATATTGTTATTTTAAGAGATTAGTATATACCTATAATTAAGAGATTTTTATGTAACTATAATTAAAAGATTTATGTATTTGTCTATTCCATCTTTTTTTTTTCTGATTAGTTAGAGTGCCACTTGTCAAAAATAATTTTGTACTGAAAATGGCTTTTGAGCGGGAAAATTTTCATTGTAGTACTGACATATGTCATTTTTGTTTGCTGCTTTAATTAAGTATTATAGATTAATAGTTGTATGATACGATTATACATTTTTACATTTATAATAGAAAAATGGCTTAAAACACATACTAAAAAAGGATTCAAACATACATAAAATGAGAACAAGAACATTATCCAAAGCTACTCTCAACCATCTTCTTACTAGCATTTCATAGCATCACATTTGCCCTTTAGAGTTTACAGTACAAGTTGAAGCTGGCATACCTAGCTAGCTTGGATATGGGCCGGGGTTTACTAGACTAAGGCTGTGTGATCTTCCGCCATCACAACGTAATTAATCTTTTTTTTAAGTATGTTTTTATGTATTTTTTGTATTAAAAATATAGACAAATATATTGGAAATACAAAAGAGATGTTGGGATAGGACAATTATTAATATTAAATTCTGAAAAAACCAATAAAAAAAAGGAAACAAACAACAATTAAAAAGGTACATTGATTTTATAATTATTCAGGCATTTTGTCATCTATAAATTGTGAAAAAAAAAGTGTACTAGTTAAAATTGGTTACACTTTCGAATTATATATCACCTGAAAAATACTAACCAAAATGAGAATATACTCCAAAGGTTCACACATAAAAAAAGAGTAATTAGTTGAACGGCATTCTAGTTAGATGCAACCGTAATATTATGATTGGTCGAAATAAACAAGTATTAATTAATAACGTTAATCCACTTGTTAAACCAAGTCTCATCTTACGTTATAATAAAAACAAAAAAACGAAATTAAAAAAGTGATGAAAAAGATTCTTCGCTTGTGCTATTCATGCATGTGTATTAGCAAACAAACATTTTATTTGTTCGGTTTTTATCAAAAAGTGATGTAAGGCTGAATTACGTCACTTTCATGGCAATTGGCCAACCCTACCAATCAATTACATAAATCTACTACCGTAATTATTTCTTTCAGTTCCACACGGAATATATATTTTTATAAACTACGGCCACGATGATTTTCTCATTTTGATTTGATTCCGTTTTAAATAACATTGTATTCTCTACTAAGTACTCCCTCCGGTACTTATTATAAGTCATTTTGATTTCGTCTTAGGTTTAATCTAAGATGTCTTTTTAATTGAAAAAAAAAACTTTGAAAATATATTTTCACATTTGTTTTGTTCTTCTAATTATAATAAAATATTTTTAAAAGTTTTATTTCATTGAAAAGGCATCCTAGGTGAAACCTAGGACGAAATCAAAATGCCTTATAATAAGAACCGAAGGGAGTATTACTCCCTCTGTCCTAAAATTATTGTCCAGTGTAGAATTTTACTTTTAGTCTAATTTGAACTAGAAATGAAAACACAAACTGGACAATAATTATGGGACGGAAGGAATATCGTGTATTTTCTGTTTCAAATTTAATCTTAAAATATGAGTGACTTTAATGGTACTTTCCCCTAGTAGGAGGAAAATGCAAGTGAGCAATATCGAATTAGTCCCGTCGGCTGAATCATTTAATCAATGATCTAATTTATTAGATTACAGTTTTATATACGTACATTTGTAGAAATTATAACTGAATAATAGTGAAACTTTTTAGTCAACCATGCTATAATGATTCTTTCTTTTCTTTTCTTTTTTTGTGGTATCATCTGCGAGTGTTAATTTTTTAATGAATCATTAATGTAGTCATAAAATCACATTCAATTAAAATCTACTTTAGATTTATCCCCAGATGTAGTTGTCTTACATTGCCACTGCACCATATATGCCTCCAAGATTCCAAAATACTATTCCTCATGTGCTTA